CTCCGAGAGCATTTCTATTCCGATGCTTTGAGCAAACTAAGAGAGAGCACCATATTCGGATTATGACGTCAATCATAAGCTCTTCTCATTCTATCTCAAGTATGGGAAGCCATAATTGCAAACCTGGAGCTTACAGAAGATGGTTGTTGTAAAGGTTTATACACCTTTTCCTGTTGATGGCTTAATCACCGTCAAATTTAAAGTATACATGGGATCAAGTCGTACTGAAGTTGCATTCACTCTTGCTGGTCTGCCATGTATGAATCCAAACGCCTGGATTTCCTTATTTCTGATTTTGTCAAAGGATGAACATAAGTATGAACCGATTGTTGCTCACTTGAAAATAATGCTTATTTGCTATATTCAAGAAGTCGCAAAGATGGATATAGAAATAGCTTCTGTTTTGTAGAAAAAGCCTTGTGTGAAACCTGAACCAGAATGTGGTGTATCACCGAAGGGAAGGTGAAAAGATTCAGAAGAGCATGTTCTTCTTGCTCGATAAGCATTTATATTCAATAGCTGCTCTGAACAACGTTATAGGACTGGTTGAAGCTTCCAAGACAAACAATGTTATTGATCTAAAATGTTTTACTGATATGATCAAGTGGTATCTTGTGATCAGAAATACTCTTCTGAATCTGATGACACGGCTTTTCAAGGTTGAGAAGAGACAAACATGAAGATACTCCTTCCTTATTTGACACAAAGGGGGAGATTGTTGGGCTTATTGTGTTGTGTCAAATGTGTTTAGTATAGGCTTATTTTACCGAGATGGGCATGTCCATTCTCGTGTTTAGTCCTTATCTGTCTAACCTATATATTGCATGCATGTATCTATTAGGGTTAAGCTTTTGTATCACCCTACCTAGCTTTTATAGAGAAGTTCACGTTGAATTCTTCTAGAGCTTTGATAATCTAAGCTTTCGGCACATCTTTGATCATTGTTCTTGTTATTTGATTCACTCTATTGTTTTAAAATCTATCGATCTTTATTTTATTGTTCCTACACTTGTTCACAACTTGATGGCGATCAACAAGGCAATGTTTTGGTGGTTTTGCTATAAGAATGGTTGTACTGGAGATTGGTATCCCATCAAACCTCACCATTTTTGTAGGTGCTTTTCTAGTATTAGGTACCAGCGTGGCTGAACTTGAATTGTTTTGTATGTATTGGCTTGTGCATTCACATTTGAGACTCGTTCGTTTGTGCATGCCATTACAAATGATATAGTAAGTTATCTAGCTCCATACTATGTAATTAGTAGTAAGATAAATACATGATGATAGTATTTAAAGTGTTTACAAGCGTATGTTTTCGAAATTGTTCACAACATATGCCTTTGTGTAAGCTTGTAATGTAAAATTCTTGTATATTGGGTAAAAATGTTTCGGTAGTATGTAATCAGTAACTAAGCACTAATGATAGCGAAATGGTTTGATTAAATCGAAAATTGTTTGCCAATTCAGTTATCAAAATATGACATCTTTGCATATGAAAATAAAATGTGTGGTAAAAAGATTTTCTACTATGTATAGAAGGTTGGTATTTGTTGCATTAATACTTGAACTTCCTAAAGGTAAATGCGTGCCACGATTGTCATGATAAAGTTTTGGTAAATATTTTTGGTTTACTAAATGAAGATAATATGTAGATATGTATGATATTGATTTACTTGAGAAAAGAGAGGTAGCTAGACCTTGTATTCAAAGTATGTCGATGTGTGTGACGTCGGTTTAAATTTGAGCCTTTCTGTCATGATGATGCTCGGGAACGCTTCGTAGAGTAGCGGATATGTACCGAGCACAAGCCAAGGTAGCTGAAAAGCGTGGTCTCACCGAGCAATCTTTGAGACTGAAATTTGATGTGGTTGTTGTGTCGAGCTCCGATGTATGTATATAAATGCAACGTGCTTGGTCTGTGGTTCCTGCTGTCCAGTTACGGTGGAAAGTTGTCCATAGAAACATTATTAGAGGAAATTCGCATGCGTCCCGGTGATGGGGATGAGATCCACAACCAACGTCGGGTAGAGGATTATATTTCTATGCCCATTGGGGGAAACTTTAGGTGACTGGTTAGCAGTGCACACTCCGTGAGTTCCCTGCAAATGCTCTACTGATCCAACTTTACTCTGCGAGCTTGTCGTTGGCACGTTCTGAGTGTTGTGGCGATGGAGCGGTTATCTTGAGAAGACGACACACTCATGTTTGATTGTTAGTATGTTTTCTTGAAATCATACACCGATTAAGATTGCGATCGCTTTGAATCGTTTTGCGGAGTAGTAGCAGTAGCATACTGCTCTTTTCCCCTCCTTTTTTGGAAAAAAAAATAGAGTGGGTTAGATCGCAACGTATATTCTGAATACGTATTTTGTCGAACGAAGCTTACGGCATTCGAGCATCGAGTGGCTGACTCTTAACTTGACATACGTGCATTTTTGTTGTTGAGCTAACTATTAAAAATATTATTTGATGGGAGCCCAAAAAACTATTAGAGCCCAAGAACCATTGAGCTTAAAAAAGAATTGTTCAGCCCACTTGGAGAAACCCAAGATAAAATATAAGGAGCCCAAAATAAGTTGTTTGATCCCATTTAAAAAACTTTGCCCAATTCTTCTCTCTTTTTTTTTTCTTCTGGAAAATCTAGTCGTCCGAACCACATTTTTTAGAATTAGATTTTGCTAGATAGGCTTGCAAGTTGCAACACATGAGCATTAAATAGCTGAATGGCTAAATTTCTTGCAAAATAGTCCATTTTAATTTTGTTGATGTGGCCCATCAACATGAGAAACGCTAATTTGAGAGAAAACTCAAATTAAAACGCCCATTTGTAAAAGCCCAATTGGTAAATGCTAATTTTTCTTCTTATTTTTGAACGTATTGGTCCAGTTGGACACAAACAAAGGGAAGGATACCACTTGTGGGCCCACTTATCCTTTCATCGACTTTTGCGGTGAAAGTCTTGCAGCCGCCTCTCTTACGATCGATAATGGAGATGCCCAAAGATAGAACGACACAGGCAACCAGCGATGGGGGTTTCTTCACTGGAGGACGACGTCTGAAGAGACCAACAACGGAGTTCGTCGGCGCCGCTGCTTTCCTGCGCTGTCAGGTAGCTCGTAACGATCGGAGATGGGTTGTTCCTTGTCGGAACTCGCTGTTTGCAAGAGCTGGTCGGAGCAGCGATTTTCTGGTGACGGGCGGCGATAGTTTTTTTTTCGTTCCCTGCTGGAGATCGTCACAGGAAGAGGAGGACCGGAGCTTAGTTCGTCTGCGATGCCGGAGCTCGACGAGATTGGTTTGTAGGTCTTTGATGGGTTTGCGTCTCAGAATGGCGTCGGTGGGGATCTCTACTAAACTAAAGATATTCTTTAATAGCTATTTTGCTTCAATTTATTGGCTACAAATGCAAACAAAAATTGAAGATTTAGTTAGCATTAGAAATTAGAAATCTACTTTTCTATCCTCAATGGATTAGTATTGATCCAATTTTAAAATTTTGTTTCGCAATTTTATAATCCAAGTTTTCATTTTTTAATTGACCTTTGGATAAAAATAGATGACCGTTGGGGTCGTCGGCGTCAGACGCAGATAAGATTGAACCGTCGTCGGAGGCCCTTCGTCGGCGTTGGAAGCGACTGAAGGTTCTTCGGGTGAGGTCGCGGTTGAGATTGAGCTTGAGATTCTTGAGGAAGAAGAAGATGCCCCACCCGAAAAGGGAAAATACCGTAAATAGTCAAAAAAAAATGGGGGGAGATGGTATTTTAAAAAAATAGACATAAAAATGGACTTTTCCGGATATAGACATGCATCATAAAAATGGATTTTTCCGGATATAGACATGCATCATAAAAATGGATTTTTCCGGATATAGACATGCATTCCGCGGAGGTAGCTCCGCGGAATCTACTGTGGCTCCGCGGAATGGTAAAATCGTAAATAAATCAATGTATTAAAAAAAAAAAAAAAACTAAAGATCCATTCCTCGGAGCTACTTCCGCGGAATGAGTTCATTCCTCGGAGGTAGCTCCGCGGAATGGATCTTTAGTGTTTTTTTTTTTTTTTTTTTTTTCACTTCGATTCTTCAGGGTTTATATTAATTTCCCAAACTAATTATTTTTAAGAAAAGATTATCATACTATTATAATCTTTACTTGAAAATAATTAGTTGGGAAATTAATATAAACCCCGAAGAATCGATGTGAAAAAAAAAAAAACCCTCAAGATCCATTCTGCGGAGATGAGGTCATTCCGCGGAGGTCCGCGGAGGGTCCTCCGCGGAATGTATGTCTATAGCTGGAAAAATCAAATTTTATGACTAAATTTAGAAATTCACCCCCATTTTTTGTCTATTTGTGGTATTTTCCCACCCGAAAATGTTGTTGATCTCTTGCAGTTGTCTTTTCTGTAACTTTTCTCGTTTCCGAATGGTTGGTTGGTTGAGAGGCAGCATGAACAGATGTATTTCTTGTAATTTTATGCAACATTTGAGTTGTAAATTGTAATTTTCGAAATTTGTACTAGGCAATACCATTTCTTCTATCCCGTTTTTTTTACATAAAAGTAAAATGTGAATATTGTAAAATTCTGAATTCATTCTTTCAAAAATATCTTATGTATCTTGGTGAAAGAACAAACCATTTTGGGGCTTTTGAAATGTATCAACATAAAAGCTGTGTTTACAAGCAACAACTTTAGAAAATGAGACTAGCTTCTCTCTCTTTGGTGTGTGTTTGGTTCAGATTGGCAGAAATCGAAATGAAATCCTTTTTGTTTTCTGTTTGGTTTGATAAATGTAAAAAGATTATAGTATAAAAAAAAGTTCATGTTCCAAAAAAAGTCAAGTTTGAATAAAGGGGAGGAATGGTCATAGAAACAACCCAAAAGTATGATAATTTGCAAAGCTAAATTACGATGGGAACTTCTGAAATCAACTAAAGCTACCCATCAACCTACCAGTAAAGAACAAAGCTAAAACTCAAACTTAAAAAACTCAAATTGTTCTACGAAAAACTACTTGAAACTCGCACAGTAAAATAGGAAGAAGGGCTAATCTGGACTGCTTTTTTATCATCATCCTCATGATCAAGTGGCCTAAAAATGAAAAACATCACCACACATACCACAAGAATACTGATTTCCTGTACCCCATAATTCATCCATGCGGGAAATAATCCACGAACAAGAAACCTCGTAAAGAGCACGTATAAAAAAACCACAAGCCCAAATAGGCACAACCTGACCAGATTCATAGCAGCATTCGCATCAGCCTCACGATTCTTCTTCAACGAGATAACTGACAACACCATAGGGACGAAAATAACAAAGCAACAGATGATATCTAAGCTTGTAGAACTATAGGTCCAATGTTCCCGGTATATATTATAAGGTCCGTCGAATTTCCATATCAATATAGAATCTACATTAGCCCAGACCTGAACTATGATCACAAACATCAAAATCACTATTTCACATTCTTCCAAATACGGCTTCCACAAACACCATCCAGTACCGATCAACGTGATCACGGTAAACAAAAGCACAGTCCTGATAAGCTGAAATATGTAAAACAAGCCATCGAATCCATGAGGAGTACCTGTAACCTTCACAAAATATAGATCGGCTGCCGCACATATAAGCTGAACATAATTCATAAGAAGTAACCCACCCATGAGTAAATGGATCCCGTGAAAACATCGTTTGTTCTTTATCCAAAACCCTAGAAAACGCAAATAAATGAAGGAGGAAAAGAAGTAAAGAAACGGGAGGTGCGTTAGCCCTGCTGATAAATAGTTTCTGGTAGTACCATCATCCATGTTGTAGAGCTCTGCACGGCCGTCCGTAGTCACAAAGGATTCGCCTTCGCCGTTGCAATTGACAAAGAAAAGTGAGTTCATACCCGGATGTGTGACAGGGTATGATTTGTTGAACGCATGGGAAAGATCTTGGAAAGTAAAGACGGCTGAGTTTAATTTGAAATCCAAAGGGCAAATAGTAGTGTTTTGCTGGTCTTGCACCTCACGCCGTTGAAGGACGAAACCACTATGCGTAGGATCGAAGGAGGTGGAGGAGTTGACCGTCAGGGAAGATATATCGAAGGATACGTAACCGGCATGTGAGAATTCGAAATCCGAGAAAAAGATCATATGTCGATTATCAGAATAGAGATTCAGAGATATGATATCCGCAGTGGATGGTGCAGTGAAGAGGAAGAGGAGGACAACGGAAGTGAGAATTTTTTCTAAAATCATCATTTTGGTTTACCGGTGCGGGCTAACGGCGAAGGAAGGCGGTAGTCCAGAAAAGGTGAAACCGTGAGAGTAGGAGGATTATCCGGTGGTCGCTGATAACCCTTTTAACACAAACAAATAAAGGATAAGAAAAACAGGGATAAAGATGAAAGTTTAAAATTTGAAAAATAAATAGGGATAATGATTTAAAAGGGTAACATATTTTTTCATTTGTATATATTTAGTCACTAACTTTTTTTTTTGTCTATATTTGCCCATTGAACTTTTTTTTTTGTCTATATCTTACCCTTATGGCCGGTTGGTGTGGGTTAATCCGGTTTCCGGCGGCCTTTGAAACTCCGGGAAGATTCCAGTCATCTTCTCCGGCAAAAAATTTCAACAAGAACAATATTTTCCTAGAACTTGAATCCAAACACACATCCACACATAAACTCGATTGTGTAACCAAGAACCTCTATATCTGCTATGGTTCGCCGGAAACTTGAAGCAACTCCTCCAGATCTGTGATGAACAACAACAGTCATAGGAGATGGGTGGTGCTCCAGGGGTCGAGTGGCACTCATGGCATGAACCCATAAATTATTTGAGTTCTTTATCTTGAGGTTTATTTTCAGATCTGAAGAAGAACATAAACACACACATTAACACACACTGATGAAGAAGTCGGATTTTCCAGATCTGATGAAGATTTTCAAGTACCCATTTCATATGGGTCTTCGATTTGCAGAAATGGGTGTTCGATTTGCAAAAATCGGAAGAACAAACTCAATGTATGTCTGATTTTCTAGAACTCAATTTTCAAGAACCCATTTCATATGGGTGTTCGATTTCAAGAACCCATCTGTATGTGAGTATGACTGATTTCTTGTTCATGTTTGCATATGAGGTGTGTTTAGAGAACAAACTCAGAAAAAGATGAAGAAAACGAACACAAACCCAAAAACTTAAACTCAAAAACTCACACTCACAAATTGTTTGTGTTTGTTTTATGGACCCGATTTTTGTGTTCATCACAATTTCTGAGTTCATCATGATTTTTGATGAAGATAACATGATTTGTGTCGGATGTGATGTTCTAATGGATTTCAAAAACCCAGATTTGATGTGTGTGTGTTTTCTTAATCTGAAAATCAAAATATGAGTCTGATGTGTGTTCCAAATCTGAAAAAACGTTGCCCGGAGAAGATGACCGGAACCTCGCCGGAGAAGACGACCGGAACTTTGCCGGAGCTGTGAGATACGTCGGAGACCGACAAAACTACGATTGCAGATCATAATGATGTTTTTTAAACGGTTCAACAAATTCAGTGGGAAAATATGGACAAAAAAAACTTCAGTGACTAAATATGTACAAATCAAAAAATATGTTACCCTTATAAGTCATTATCCCAAATAAATAACTGGTGTGATGATAAAAGATTCTATACTCTCCATTGCCGTGTTGTATAGTAGGAGTGAATCCCGTAATACTTTCAAATATTGGATTTAAAGCAAGATTTATAACTATTTTCCTCTCATATATTTATGGAAATCTCACAATAATTGTTACAGTACTAGGTGTGAGAGCCATGTATTACATGAGTTTATTTTAAAAAAAGCAAATATAAAATTTTAACAATTTGAGAAGTTTGAATTTATAAAAGAAGTGAGAAAATTTTTGAACTATCTTTACAAACATTTTAGACATTTTTTGAAATTTAAAAGGTATAACTCTTTTAACATCATGTACATTCATATTAAGCTTAATCTAAATAAACGCGCACTACGGTATTACCTTGTACATGTGGAAACTTGAAAGCCCTAATCTAATCTCCTCTACACACCCAAGATACACCGTTACCAACACTCGCATCCACCACCCCTATCTCGCCGCCTCTACCTATCGTATCTGATCGTCGTCTCCACCATCTGCCTTCATACCAATTTTTCGGTAACGATTCCACATGATGATCCATCTCTCTCTCTCTCTCTCTCTCTAATCCTACCACCACTTATCGTAACCGACACCACCATCACCGCTGCCCCTACTTCCTCCACCAACCAGTGCCCAAGGGTTGATGGCATCTCTGCTACAGTCCTCATGGAAAAAGGTAATGCATTTCTTCTAAACCTGATTGTTTTGCCAAAAGTAAACTTTTATGAGTGTAAATGATTTTTTATTGTTTCTTTGAAACTATTTTTCAGTCAAATCTGTATGTGGTTTTTCTAATTTAGGGTTTTGATTTGAAAGAGATGTCAAAGAAAACGCCTTAACAACTAGGTTTTATTTTTTTGGTGATTCTATGTTTCTTTCATCAGTTTTTTTACAGATTCAGTGGAAGAAATACAGAAAGTGATAGACATATTGTTCTAACCTTCAAAGGTTGTAAGAATTCTTTAACATTTTAAAAAAAATGCATATAATGATTGTACACATTCTATCTGAAACTATTTCCCTTCAGGTATCTTCAGGGCGATTTCAGGAATTGCAAACCTCATTCTCTTCGCTTACAATGTTACCGCCATCGACCAGACTACCACCAACACATCTCACTTACACACGACTCTATAATATGAGGTATTTACGAAATGTGGAACCGCCATCATACTCACTATCTAAACACCCTCACATACACTAACATCTAATCACACACACATCTAATCATCGCTTCATCTCTCTCCCTCTAGGGCTTAATCCCCACAAGAACCAACATCATCAGATGAAGTCGGCGTCAGAGTTTTATAGGGTTCCGATGAGGTCTGATTAGGATTCCAGCAAAGAAGATTACTCTAGTATGGTATGTGTTTTTAATGCACATTCTGTCATTTTTTATCTTAATAGTCTTCAAATAAAGACATGTTTTGTGGGGTGAAAGAAGGAAAGAATAAAATGAAGATAAAAGTAAAAGGATCGTTCATGGATCAGTAGCTGTCGTTTATCCCCAAATTTCAAAACATTGATTCAAATTTTAAATTTTGAATCCCAAATCTTTCAAACATAAATCAATTTAAAAAGTATCCCTTATTCACCCTCATTTTAGAGTTTGAGACGTCCCCATTCTCTCTCAAAAACCCTAATCCAAAATCACAGCAGTTGGTGTGCAGCAAGATGGCACCACCATTCACCGATGAAGTTGCGCCTCGGCCCTCCTCAGCCTACGTCTTCAACATCGAATCCCCACTTTGTTACCAAATTTCATGTTACTCTTCTATACATTACGTTATATCTGTTCTTTGGATTTTTTGGTCTTCTCAACAAACATTTGTTGGCTCTCTCAGGTAACCTCCTTAGATCAGTAAGTTTGCTCGAAATCTAAACGGTATAATCATTGTTAATTTAATGCACCTAATATGAAACCTTTTCATTTGAATTTGAGCTCGATATTTGAATTTGAGACTGGGATATAAATTTAGTTTTTGTTTTGTCTTTTGACACAGGTTCTCTTGTTTCTATCATCTCTTTCCGCTTGCCTTGATTTTAAGACTATCTACGTGAAGTTCAGGTATCGAACTCGGTTCTGTTAAGAAAGTTTATCAGGATTTCTAACATCTTTTTGGCACATGTACTCCCTTTTCTCTATATTTTAGGAGAAACCATATCCCAGATCCGTGAACAGAACTCGTATATGTGAAGAAGAATACTCAAATTTTTGGTCATGATGAGGCAAGACATCAATCAAAACATGGAATATGTTGAATCTCTCTCTCTCTCTCTCTCTCTCTACATTCATACATATCCATAAATATAATTGGTAATTGGTAATAGATTGTAAAGAAACAAGTATGCCATGATTCATATGATGATATCAAACCTTAATGGTCAAGTTTGTAATTTATTAACACAATCATTAAAAAATGTACATCTATTTTCACTGTTTTCTGATAAATTTATTTTCCAGCAGACTCTTCATGTGGCTGTTTATAAGAAATCTTCTCCATTGCTTCACCGAGATTTGTCTTTTAATCTCTCTAAATCTTTATGTGTTTAGCTATATGTTTGGGCGTTTTTGTCTATGAATTTGTCAATCTGGATATGTTTACAAACCCTACAAATGGTTTTGTTCTTGATTTTTTTTCATTTGTTGCAGATTTTTATGTTGGACAGATATCTATCTGAATGCAAGTCGAGTTATTAGAATGGTTCCTCAATGTTTGGTAAAGTATGTCTATTGAGAATTTCATTTTAATGTCCAGATTTTCTATAAATAGTTGGAAATCCATAATACTATTTAACTTTTTTTTTTGCAGAGCTTATGTTGTTAAGCACCCAAACCCTTTGTCAATGTGAATAGGTAAGTCATTTTAATTATGCTGTTTATTCTTGTTCATTTATGTTTTGAAGAGTTAGCTAATCTTTAAAATCAAAATAAAGGCAACAAGATGAGTGGCGTTTGATAGTTTTTTGATAAAATCTATTCTTAATAAAAGAGTACTTTGCATGCCTCGTGTCCCTCTTTTGCACCTCCTACTTGCCACGTGTCCTTCACAGAAAAACTCTAGGACTGATTTTCCCGCCCATGCGATTCTTCAATTGTCAATAACTCATCTCCTAAGATTAAGGAAATTAGTTTTCAATTAGTTTTACACTACATTCAAATTACGTATTATACATGTAAAGAAAGATTTCAAACTTTAATGGAGATATGCAATCCCTTAAAATCAGCTAATCATAATCCGCCAACTTACAAATATTGATTTCGTGATTGATATCTTCTTCGCTTCTTCATTCAAGTCTTGGAACCTGTATTCAAGAATTCTTCTTTGTCTCTACAGACTACCGAAGGTAGATCTCCATCTGTTTAGTCTACAAAAAAAAAAATATCGTAGTTATTTGTGTTTTTGTGATCTATAAAAACTTATTTACTCTATTTCCTTTTCTTCTCCTTCTGTTACGATTCTTCTTCTCAATCTCTTAC